GGGGTAACAAGGTAATTTGATACTATCAGCTAGGTTGAAATTGTAAATTGGCCACTGTAAAGAGTTAAACAGCTGACGTTTCGGACGTTAGCCCTTCGCCATTCGTTCTGACGAAGGGCTAAGGCCTGAAACGTCGGCTTTTTAACTCTTTAAGGTGGCCAGTTTACAATTTCAACTTAGTTGATTTAACCAAGTAACATTATCATTGAAGACTGGAGAGACTGAGATTGTGCAAGGCAGCTATAGCTCATGAAAACAAAAACAAAAAAGAAAAGAAAGAAAGAGAAAACAAGCGGAATATTGATGACGACCAACTCTGGACGCAAAGTCAACTTATGAAACAATTCTGTCCATCAAACACTTTTCCTGTGTCATTGTTGTGCGCAGAAATTTTCCCAAATTTAACGCAAATTTTCATTATTTGCAGCTTCCGGTTATTCACAGTGGTCTGAATGGGGCGCATGCTCAAGAACCTGTCGCCAAAGGGGCGTCGCCGGGACAAGACAACGCACGCGCACTTGTGTTATTCCTGAACTAGGTTGTGATGGCCCTCGTCAGAATTTTGAAGAATGCAACAAAATCGACTGCGAAGGTCAGGACGCTTGATTTAAAATCCGTTACTTGAGCAAACGAATGATATGTTTAATTCAAATTGGGAAAAACTGGTAGATATTGTTCGGAGTACCTAAGATATTGTCGTGGATGAAAATCCGATAACGCATGAAAACTGTAGGAAATCGTCCAAATCTTACGCAGAGAGGGTAAGAAATGTTGAGGAAATACGTCCCGTAGCGAGACAGCGTAAAGCAAATGAAAAAATACAAAATGACATAAAACACACCTACCGTAAGTAAATCAATACGTATGTAAATTTAAGATAGACCCGAGCTTACTTACACTGAAGACACCCCATATTAATCATATTATTTTAGGTTGTGGGGAAAGGACTCAACTCAGTGACTCAAACTACAGTGCCTCCACTGCAGTCCAACCAGCTAGCTTTGCCAAGCTGGACACTTCCAACCCGAGCGCATCTCAAAGAGCCTGGTGCAGAAATGCCAACGAAGTTGGTGGCTATTTGCAGATAGACCTGGGTAAAACCTCATACAAATAATGTTTATGTTAAAAGGAGCTAAGCCGTGGGTTTTGCTCCTTGGATAGTTTGTTTCAGTTTTTTACAGGTGCAGTCTGCATTAATAATTTTTTCCTTTCGTGCCAGTGCTGCACGGGTTATTTGTCATTTCATACCATGGTTTGCAAAATATCAAAATGGCATCACAAGGATCCTACGTTCCTTATAGTTTATAGCTGTTTTAAGCAAACTGCAAACCCTTCAGATAAAAAAGCAGCCTGCTGTAGTGTTACTGCTGTAGTGTGACCTTTCATTGTTGTACCTGGTTTACGAAGTCCTATAACATAATTAATGAAAGCGCCCGCTCTGGTTGGTCAATGAACTAAGCGTCTACCATTTGCTCATGGGTGTACGCTGATGGCGTGAGAAAATGCAAAGACAACTGTCCACGCGCTTGTTTTTTCTGGTCACTTGAGATTTCAGCGATAAACAAAACAGAACTCTTTTGTGACAATGTATCGATGTTATGTTATAAAACAAATAGTAAACACAAAGCGTTCACCTTTGAGTTCAAGACTTAATAAAATGGAAGAAAACAACACAGTTCTTGTTTTTTAAACACCACAGGGGAAACTGCTGATGTTTACCAGGTGGCCACAAAAGGTCAGGAACAAAATGATAGATGGGTCAGGAGTTATTACATAACGCTGAGTTCAGATGGTAACTCCTTCTTTAACTATACTCAAGGCGGAAGAACGAAGGTAGGTCTTTCTACTCTGCTCAGGAAAGTTCCAGTCTTTAGACCTTAGGTTATGGCATATGAAAAAATTCTTACGTGAGGATAAGTTGTATTAAGGAGGTCGAAACTATGAATAATGTGACTCGTGTATCGTCAGACTGAATAGTTGTAATGACCTTTAACAGCACGATAACCAGTAATATCACGAAGCACTCCTCATATATCTCATTTCAATGGTTACTGGATTTTAGGAATAGAACCTGTTCACGCAAGGATAATAAAAAAATTGATGAAGAACATATTGCTTAGCATCTTAAATTTTAAAGACCATTCACGGAGGTGGTCAAGGAATGATGATAATATTTTTGAAAAAACAATTCATTACAAAGAATGCGTTTTTGTTTTGAGAAATCATACGTCCTACAATTCATTACAAGATCTTAAATATTTTCTACTATTTCATGTTACCGTATAGTTTAATCGACAGGAAGAGCTCTATACTCTTACAAACTCAACTAATTTATTAAAAAACGAGTAATATTCTTAATGAGTGACTTCTTAAGGCAGTGCAGTAATTATCCTCAGTAAACTTACTTAAGCCCAACACAGTCTAAATCTTAGCCCGTCACTGACACAATCTCACAATAACCATAATACCTATGTTTCGGTATAGGCTTTCCACATCGTGGGTCACTCCCGACAACAACAAATACTACATGAACGAGTCCTTATATACATTTACAAAGTATTCCAGAACATTCCAGCGGCTTACAGCACAACCATTTTGGCAGTATTACATAATAACTAGGCGACCTAATAAAATGTTCCAGGAAGTTCCCAGGTATGCATGTCAGCATGACCAGCCATTCTGGAAATTTCTAGAACTTATTTTAAAATCATTACAACTGACACTCTTTAATAACTTTTTAGGCATTCTCTGGCAATCGGGATTCGAGATCCGTTGTTTTCAACAACATCAATGCCTCACAAGCCGTTCGATATGTCCGTTTCCATCCAATCACATTTAACGAGCAACCGTGTATGCAAGCATCGGTGTTTGCGTGTACTGGTAAGTCACATCTGCTATTTTATATTTTAAGGAATTCCCATTAAACGGTCAGAGGATTTGGTTCGCATGAAAATAATGTTCAATTTTCCAGTTCGTTATCACATACGTCATTTAGATATATGTAATATCAGGTTGACGTTAGGTAAAGGGTAACAGGTGAATTCCTTGGTGGATTAATTTTATTAATTTCATGGTAATTATAACTGCTATGTGCGACAAAACATAGATATGATGTGTTTCTTTTATTTTTTTTTTGTCTAGAATCATCGACGCCAACAGTAGCATCTGCTCAAATATCAGAAGAAGCAGGAAATGGAGTTTGTAAGTCATTGCATATTTTGTCGCTTGTTTGTTTGATTATTTTACATTATAGTCCTTACCATTTTGGAATTTTCAGTGTAAGTACGTTTGATTTAGCTTCTTAAGGCCAAACCCAAAACAGTCATAACCAGTGGCGGATCCAGGGAAGGGGCCCAGAGGGCCGTTTCTCTCCCCCCCCCCCTATTTTGGGTAAAAAAAAAAATAGATGGAGAAGGAAGAAAGCTGGTAGGTGTACACACACGCACACACACACACACACAAATATACAATAACGAACAGGCGCTCTCCGATGCACAGGAAAAGGAACGCGATGTTAATTCCGTTTAATGCAGTTTTTTTGGCATCTGATTGGTTGAGAGAGTGGCGTGACTTTTATGAACCAATCACGGAGGGAAGTCTTATTTCATGAGCATTAATTGCTCCGACTGTTTGATAAGTAGAACGCTGTAATGAGATATCCGCAACTGTAAATTACTTTACAATTAATTCCCTCACCAGGTAATAGACTAATCCTATGATTTTTTCATCTTTAAGTGATCGCTTTGTGGATATTGGCTGGAATTTTAACTTTCCTTCTTCTCTTGGCCTGTTTGTACTATTGTTGCTGGCATGTTTGCTGCAAGAGGTAAAGAGGACACATTCAGTCGTTTTCATTGCACCAATGAACATGTTTCACATAATTTTGTAACACTACCAAAGTAAAACGCGCGACTGGCCAATTCAGTGTCCACCGTTTGCCCACAGGTGTATGCTGTTAACGTGGGCAAATGCGAAGACTAATTTTCCGCGCGCGCTTTTTTTTCTCTGGTCACGTAAGATTTGTTCAATGTTATAATATCAAACAAATTTTAAAAACCACAGCGTACATTATTGAGTTATGGACCGATGGACTTATGAGGTTTGCTGGGCACTGAAGAAGTTAGAGTCACTCTCGGCTATCACCTTGCGCGACTCTAAAGCTTCTATCGTGCTTAAAAACCTTCTGCGTGCATCCATAACTCAATGGTACACGCTGTGGTATTTACCATTTGTTAAATATGAACCAGGTGAGTGCGCCTCCAATGTGCTCGGCTGTAATTTGAGAAATTATATCTTTGACAAACATCCGTGTGCATCTTCGCCTCAAGTAGGCGTTGATACCCATCTTTTCTCTGAAGGTTGGGCGGAGTAAGAGAAATTTCACGTAAATTTGAACACGAAGGATTTTCTTCCATTCTCCCTGAGAAAGAAGCCATCATTTCAGACTACGGGTCTATCCGCACTAGCGACAAAATTGTCCATTTACGCAAGTTTTCTGTAATCACCAACACTTTACAGGTGCGGATGATTTGTCGCAACTTGACGAATTTTGGCTGAGGCGGACAAATTTCAAACGCACCGCCGACAAAATTTGTCCCGGGTAAAACATTGGCAAAATCGACTAATAAACAAAACTGCGATAAACTTGTCGATTATTTGTTGTAAACGCCACCACCAGCGTGATAATTTAACTGAGCTTAGTGTACCAAAAAATTGTAGTGATTGTCTTTCGTTGCCATCCTCGCGAATTTTACGACTTCTAACAACTTCAGATGAATCCTGGTAATTCATCGGAGTTTGAATCCATAGGCAAATTATAGCGGCCAGTGTTATGAGTAGGTCAGGCGCTGGAGGGAGGCAGGGCAAGATACAACGGTGGAGAGACTTTCCAGTCGCCACTTTAGCAGTCAAACAATGAAGCAGTAGATGTGGCACAAGATCCAGAAGTGCCCTCTCAAAGCAAAGGGAAAGGAAAAGCTAAATTGAATGAAATTACAGTGAAATATAGTATCCGGGTTATTTTTAATTTGGCTGTCAACCGAGTTTGACAGATTTAACAGCTTCGACGGTTTTAGTGCGGATGCAACAGAGGAGACAAAAATTTGTGAACAAAAATTTGTCTTTTGATTTTGTTGGGGCAATTCTAGTTTTGTCTGCTAATGCTGATAGGCCCAGAGTGTAAAACAATGAATGCCTGCTAATATGGTTAATTGCGTTCATTTATTCTTAGAGGAAAGAAGAGGAAAGGTCTGGCAGCCTTCAGAGAAGAAACATCCACAGAGGAAGATGGCGGGTACCTTATAGAAGACGGTGAAAGTAAGAGAAGGAATCTTCCTGCGGTTGCCATGGTGCCAAGAGTACCAAAGGTCGACAAGGTTCCCGAAGACGAGGTGCAAGAGGTTAGCATCGAGATGAAAGAAGATAGTGCCCAGCTTGGTAAGTACGTCGGTTCATTTTTTTGGTGGATGAAAGGAAAAATTACAAATCATAATTCTTTATGAGCAGGATATATGTACTATCGAGCTATACGAACCGAATGCCCCATGAGGGTAGACCAGTTTTGGGGATTCCATATGATTGGGCGGATTGGATATCGTTGCCTAAACTGAATACCTTATGAAGGTAGACCAGATTTAAGGATTTCAAAATAGCCCTTTGTCGCCTTTATTGGCACGATAATTGATGTTTCTCCTTCTTCTAAACGTTTTTCCAGGCGTCATCCAATTTGGCATAGAAGCCGATAACACAAAAGACCAACACGTGACTGCAGAAACTGTCCACTCTGAGACTCCATTGTATTCCCAAGAGGTCAACACTGGAACAGTCAAAAAAGGTGCCTCAAAAATGACCATGAGTTCCACTGACACTCAGAAAAGGAAACGCGCTCAGAGCGAATCTGCTGCTGCAACTCTCGGGGTGGCCGAGGCGACTTCTCATCAATGGTCGCACCAGACGGAGCAGAAGCAGAGCTCTACTTTTACCAATGAAGGTTACATGAGGTATGTTTCTTTATCACAACACATTTAGATTAAGTGTTGGGGACCCAAAAGAAAACTTATCACAACTGCACGGTAGAAGAAAGGTGATCATCGCAAGAAACCAATTAAAACTCGAACAAAAGCGGCCAAAAGCGCCAAAGAACATTTAGAGAATAGTTTCAGTTTTATATTTTACTGGACGAGAGGGTCGCGCACTTGTTGTAGACCGTGCCACCGAACATCTTTGGTAAATAATAAGAAAATGCAGTTTATCCGCCTCATGAAAAGGAAAGAAGTCCATTAAACGCCTTTATTTCGCTGAACAGAGTATTGGGTGGAAAATTTTCCTTTGATAACGTCCCAACCATTGTGATGCTACTTGATCTTATTCTATCCTTCGATGCAGATCTCAAGAGTCGATCGAGCCTACACAAGTTCATTCCCGGACTCAGGAATTAAGACGTGCTCAAAGCGCAGATGAACTGTCCACCATCGACTATGACATGTTTGCACAACGGCGTGAGTCGGCTCAGAGTATTGTGAAAGGAGGTAGGGGTCAAGATGGTTACATGAGGATGAAACAGTCTAGCCGAGGTTCCTCAATCGATGTAACGGACGGCGGGATTCAAATGGGAACAGTAGATGTGGCCATCGGGGGTATCGGGGCACCGAATGTCCGACGGGGATCGAGTCAGTTCTATGGAATGGAAGAACAGGAAATGACATTCTCAGCAGATAACGGTGGACGTCATTATTATGAATTGGAAGACGGGGGATACCGTACCGAAGAATGGTATACCCGTGGGGGACATGAACCCGGTCGGTTGAGGGAGGAAGGATTTAGGGAGATTCATGTAGAACATCAGCCTATCTACCACGAAACAGAGAACGTCAACCAGGTCAGTAAGGAAAGTTTCTCGGTTTTCATGCGTGAAATATTTAACAAATGGTAAACACCACAGCGTACACTATTGAGTTATGGATGCACGCGGGAGGTTGCTAAGCACGAAAGAAGCGTAAGAGTCGCTCGAGGCGATAGCCGAGAGCGACTCTAGCTTCTTGAGTGCTTAGCAAACCTCCCAAGTGCATCCATAACTCAATAGTGTACGGTGTGGTGTTTACCATTTGTTTTATAACATAACATTGATACATTGTAGCTAAAGAGTTCCCTTTTATTTAACAAATCTTACGTGACCAGAAAAAACAAGCGCGCGCGGAAAAATAGTCTTTGCATTTGCTCACGTCAGCAGCGTACACCCATGGGCAAATGGGGGACGCTAAATTGACCAATCAGAGCGCGCGCTTTACTTTGGTTATGTTATAAAAAGAATTTTCACCCAACTACTTGTTACTTTTGCTTTTTGTTGTTGCTGTTGTCGATGTTGTGAAAAATTGTATCAGTCTTTCATTGTTTTATGTGTTCATTCCACTGAAATATATCTTTTTATCTCTTAGGGCTTCAGGCACAGCCGACTAGTCTAATAAGAACAGCTGTGTGGTCGAAACTATGTCGTTCCAAACAACGAAGACAAGATAAGATTACGATCTATCCAAGCACAATTTCTAGAAATTTTTTTATAACCGATGAGTCTAACTTGATAGATTCAAAGGTCGAACTCTTTTCCTGAACTCTTAAACAGTTGGGTTGAATTGATCGTGGCCCCGTTTGTATGTGGAACCTACTGTCTGACAGCGTGTTTAGGATAAGTTTAATTTAATTACACTTTAAGGGTTCCATTGAGAGCGGAGATACAGCAGCTACAGGTATGAATTAAGGTGCAGATCTCTTGCTTTGCTCTCCGCAAGGTAATTAGTGGAGGAAACGGAAAATGCTCTCTTCTTCTTCTGAATTCAATGAATTAAAAGCATTAATAGCTGAATAAGAAATTGCAGCAAATTAATTCTTTGGGAACCATATTGACAGCATTAATACCTCATCCTTCCAAAAAACTTTTTTTTAAAAAAAAAATTATAATACTAAGTGAGAAATGTGTGATTATTATCGTGAATTATTTTTTTAAAGTTAGAAATCAGCTCTTTCTGCATATTGCCAAGTCCCTATTGCCCACAGAATTAACGAAGTTCACCTGTTTACGCACAGGCTACCATCACGTTTTTCCATTCAAGGAAGAAAATCGTGTCACGCCAACCTACAATTGACAGCAGTGTGCTTGGTTATCTTTCTTTAGGCTAATTACTTCATTAGCATAATTTCTCTACATTATAATTATATGATTAAAAATAGCGAGCAGTGCTTTTCTAGAGCATCCTATTTGGAAATTTACAAGAATTTTGTACAGTTGAATTTTCTTTTTTGTATATTGAGAATGGAAGTTGCAGCACATTGCTATTATGTTGCACTTTACATTATTCAATTTAATGTATAGAATCGTTATTTCCATTGTATTAGCTGGAGGCATAGGTATTCCTTGAACTAAGATATGGTTTGTTATTAAAGTGCTGATGTGTGTATAAATAATACAAACTTTTTTTATTTTTTTTATTTTTTTTTTTTACTTCCTTCCATCTTTCCTCCGCCATTCACTATCTTTTTCATATCTCCCACCCTCCCCTCCCTTCCCTCTTTCTATCTCTTATCCCCATCACTTTCCTTAATTTTCCTGCTTGGCCTTGCCTCTCCCCTTCTTTTCTTTCTCATCTCTCTCTCCCATTTTAATTGTTCGCCATTCTTCTTCTAGACTCTCACCATTCCTCTTCCCCTTTTGCGATCTAAAGTAGGATTTTCACCATCTCATGACATTCATTTTATTCTGAATCCTACAAATTCTTAGACAGGCAAAGGTAAAACCCCTGCATGAACTAGAAGACTCATCAAAGCAAGTTAATTGTGGTTTTAGTAGTATGAAACGCCCACGAGTTTTGTAGTATTGCAACAGCGTCCTTGGATGGGGTTCTAGCTAGTGCGTCACACGGTTATCTCTGACGAGATTTACTCGACGCTAGGTTGGTACCTATTCACTTTCTTGATAAGCGAGAGAAATTATGGGAGTCCACATTTTACCAAAGAACAAAACACAATATTTTTCATAGTAGAGGGTCTAAACTTTAATTCAGAAAACAAAGATGTCTGTTTTAAAATATAACCTAGAGGTAGGGTAAGAATTATTACAAGATAAGCAAACACTAAATATCATATATATTGAGTGGTAACCCGCAAGCCTGTTGTTGTAAGAATTTAGGTGTAGGTGTAGTGGGGGTCCAGACCCCCAAACCCTCCTCCTGGATTTCCCTGTGAACATTAACACATGTCAGGCTTAGTCTTGTTATCAAGCAATCAAGCAAAGACTATGTGACCTCTGGTTTTGCAAACTACAATAGCAACACTTTTGACTGGGATGACGATGAGGAGGATGGGGGGTGGGGGGGTTGGCATTGAGGAAAGATTACTACAGGTTTAGTGAATATTCAGTTGCAATCATTCTCCTGATCAGTAGATCATCTGTAAACAGCCATCTCATTTGTAGTAGATGTACCACTAAGTCAGCAAAGGTGTGGCATTCCTTTACACCAATAAAATCAGTAAAACTCACAAACATGTTTTTTTCGATCTCTTCTAAAAGACCAGGAACTAAGTGTGGAGGTACCAAATTAAAATCCTTCACTTCACCCTCAAACTGGATCTGTTTCTTGATCAGTAGCTCAAGTTAAAACTCGGCCTTTACACGATACAGCTAATTACACACTGAGCACAAAAGTTACAACAGTCACGTATCTTGTATTTGATGGATAAACCACTTATTTACCTTGTTAACATAAATTTGAACATTATGCTCTCGAGGGTCATCCCTGACAATGTGTCGTTATGCTGCAAAATGTGCTCAAAATGTTTCATTACGCTCAATTAAATGATTCAAAATAACAGCTTTTGAGAACCTTTTAAACACCTTCCCCCCTCCCCACATTTCTATAATCAGACAAATCAAATTCCTTAAAACGCAAGTAAGAAAAGAAGGCTAACTGTGGATAGTACTCAGGCTACAGAACGTATCTCTTGTTGAGCTTTTACAGCAAGCGAACTATTTTGGAAGTTTGGTCATTATGCCGGAATTATGTTGCTTTGATCATGGCATAATGCCCAAAATTATGCAGGCATAATTTAACTGACATTACCGTCCATGATATGATTCTAGACAACTTGCAAATTACACTCCCTCAGATGGTGAAATAGTTTCAAGTCTTGTCAAGAGCGCGGACTGAGAAAAACATATGAGTCCTAATGATATTATATATGCGCGCCAAGATGGCAGCCACGTTTTCGATAGCTCGTAGTTTATCTTATATTGTTTTCGGGTTATACGTGTTTTTTCATCTATTTAAACTTCACCTGACTCCAAATGTTTCCTCAACCTTGGTAGTATCTACTCTTAGTCTTGGAAACAAACCAAGTACGCGTTCTGCGAACATTCCGCATCGACCCGCAACGATATGGCTGAAACATGGCTTCGTGTGTGTGTTTCTTCCAACAAAGACCTCCCTGTATTTATGGCCATTGAACCAAATCCTGGTCCACTTCATCCTCAATTCTCTTCTTCTCAACCAAATAGGGTCTTGTTTGAAACGTCAAGACTACTCTTCATCAGCAATAACAAACCTGCTTTTTTCATCTACACAAGGGACGATCTAATCAACATTCGTCGACTGGGAGTTTGCAAACCGAACAACTCAGTCCTGTTTAATATGAAATCTCTTGGAATACTCCGTTATCGCGGAGTAAGATCAGGAAGAGCTGTTAGGACCAAACGACAACTGAAAAAGTTGGCCATTCCTACTATTATTACGGCGAATCGGCCGCGATTCATTGACTCAAAATCAGTTAATGTGACGAATGTTATTTATCCATCCAAAGTTGAATCAGCCCGGTCCAACTTCCCAAGGCTGTCTTTTGCTGTTTGGAACGCTTGATCGATACACAGGAAAGCTGCCGTGATCTGAGATATCATTACATCAAATAGGCTCGATATCTTCGCCATCACGGAATCTTGGCTTAACTTTGAGAATAATGTCGCCATTGCGGAAATACTGAATTCATTACCTGATTTTACTGTTTTGCAGATTCCACGCCCTGGCAACAAAGGAGGTGGCGTTGCAATTTTTGTGCGTAAGGTTTTTAACATAACAAAGAATCTGACTCTTACCTTCAAATCATTTGAACACATTGATATTATGCTGACTTACAAAAACTTCAATTTCCGTTTGGTTATTATCTACAGGCCACCGCCTTCCACAAATTTAAACTTACCACTGCTGAATTTTTCACTGAGTTTGCTAAACTTACTGAGGAGCTAACTAATTGTTACAGACCATTACTTAATGATGGAGACTTTAATTTTCACATGGATAATATTGACAATGCTGACGCTCTAAATTTTCTTGACTTTCTTGAATCGGCGAACGTGATTCAACATGTCACTGGATCAACACACTCAATGTGCCACACCCTAGACCTAATTATTACAAGATGTAATGAAAGCGTAGTCTATGACGTACAAATACTACCTGATTTTTTCTCTGATCACAAAGTTGTAACCTGGAAAATGTATTGTCCAAAGCCACCTGCTTCTAAAATTCATTTCACGTATCGTTCAACTAAGTTCCTGACTGCTGATATCTTGGAAGACGTTGTGTTGAAATTACCTTTTTTGTGAAAGGTCTGAACGCGCTTCCTGTTGTCGACCTGACAACACTAGTCACCCAATACAATACAGAGCTGGAAAAGATCTACAATGATTTTGCCCCTACGAAATCTCGATGGATAACTCATCGACCACATGATGATCTCTGGTTGGGTAAGCGCATAAAACGGAGAGCAGAGCGTATGTTTAAGAAGACTGGTCTGGAAGTTCACAGAGAAATTTTTCTAGAAGCATGTAACAACTACCAAAAACAATTGGAGTTCCATAAATCTTCGTATTTCAAAACTATGATCAAGCAAGCAGGTCGAAATAACCTTTTTCGAATAATCGACAATCTGTTTCAACCAGGTAGTACAGCCCTGCCCTCTAATTCATCTTTGGAATGACTGGTTGAATAATTCAATGACTTTTTTATTGGCAAAATCCAATCCATCAGAGATGAACTTCAGGAGAATGCAGTGAACCATTCAACACATTCTCAGAGTCTGCCTTTGACTCATGAATTTAACTTGATGCGCGTGTCTTGCTCTACCGTCAAAAATACCATTCAGTCTCTTTCCACAAAAACTGGTTCCCTCGATCCACTTCCTACTATACCTATATAATAAAGAATTATGTTGATCTTTAATCTCCTGTGATAACCAACATAGTCAATCAGTCACTGTCGACAGGGGAGTTTCCTTCACCCTTGAAGTTGTCACATGTTCGTCCATGTTTGAAAAAGGAGAATCTTGACAAGGAGATTTTTAAGAACTGTCGTCCGTTGGCTAATATTCCCTTTCTTAGCAAAGTTATTGAGAAGGTAGCAGCAACACAAGCATACAACTATCTTGAATCTTACAACTTGCTACCCACTATGCAGTCTGCGTATAGGAAACACCATTCTACGGAGACAACTTTGCTCTGTTTGGCAAACGACATTCTGAGAACGATTGACCTCCGACGAGATGTTGTATTAGTCCTTCTTGACCTATCGGCGGCTTTTGATACCATTGACCATGTGATCCTGGTGGAAAGAATCGAATCCTACTTTGGTTTCTCACAATCCGGGGGCGCTGTTATAGAAGAGCTCTCGTCGTTCAAGCTGTTAGGCGTCAACTAATCTAATGATCTTTCCTGGGGGACGCATGTTGACTATCTGCTGAAGAAGGCTGACAGACGGTTGTTTGCTTTAAGGAAGCTCAGGAGAAGTTCTGTCCCAGCGGAAGATATCGTCCGTATCTATTGCTGCCTAATACGTTCCATACTTGAGTACGCCTCTACTGCATTTGCCAATTTACCGTCCTACTTATCTAAGACCTTAGAGTCAGTGCAGAGGCGTGCTCTCGCCCTTATTTGGCCAGGTCATTCGTATTCAGATACCCTAACGCTAGCCGGTATTGAAACCCTTGATGCACGCCGTAGTGCTGCCTGTGAATCCTTTATAAGTCGTATTCATAATGACAACCCCCTTTATACTGCAATGTGTGCCGGCGTTCGTAAATCTTCAGACCGCTATAATTTAAGAACAAATCGTACTCAGTATCACTACAAAAAGTCCACCGATCGTTTTAGGAACTTTGTGACAGTCAAGTACCTGCCAATTTAATTATACTCGTTTTTCTATACTAAACATTATTGTCATTTTAGTATTATTATTATTATTATGTAAATGCTGTTTTTACTTGTATGTAGCTTAAAGCATTTTGTACAGTTTTCCCTTTTATATCCCACAATTCTTGTTAATATAATTTATAAACCTGTAATTCAGCATTCTCTGCAAAAGGTTTGAATAAACTTTATTATCTCTTTACTTATCTCTAACTGACGCTGAACTGGTTTAGATGATACCTCGAAAACCGTCGTCAATCAATAATTATTAGAGATCAAGCGTCCACTCCTCGCGCTCTTCGTTATTGTGTCCCACAAGGTTCCATACTTGGACCCCTACTTTTCACCCTGTATATCGCCCTTCTGCAGGATGTCAATGCTCGCCACAATCTCGACTCTATTTTACGCCGATGACACTCAATTATATTTTACTATCGATCCCGTAAATCAGGCCCCGTCCTTGGCTGCCCTCCAAACCTGCATTGAGGACGTAATGCGATGGAATACCCAAAATATATGCTAAGAAAAGACTGAATTTATTTTATTCACCTTCCGATTTACCAAGACACCTAACAGTGAGAAGCTCTTTTTTGATAGTAGCGTCATTGAACTAACTGAGAAAGTCCGTGATCTTGATGTTATTTTAGATAAAAATCTAACACTGACATACCACATTAATAAGACATGCAGGAAAGCAACTAATGCCATCAGGTCCATAGGGCGCATTCGTAAATACCTCACTAATGAAAACCTTAAACTATTAGTCAATGCTCTCGTAATATCACGACTGGACTACTGTAACAGTATCCTCTATGGTTTAGAGGATACTGGGAACTCGACAAACTCCACCGAGAGAGTTCAAAACACTGCAGCACTTCTTATTACCGGATCTAAACAATATGATCACATCAAACCTGCTCTTCAAAAACTACACTGGCTGCCAGTTTAAACACGTATAATCTATAAAGTTATTCTTATTACTTTTAAGATTCTCCATGGACTTTCTCCGGACTATTTGTCGTCCCTGCTACAAGAATATCATCCACCACGTATTCTACGTTCATCTTCCAAATCACTTCTTACTGTCCCCACTATGAATTCTGTGACATACAGTGAACGTACGTTCTCCTTCTGTGCACCTACATTATGGAATTCTCTTCCTGATTCTCTTAAATCTGCAGCTTCTCTTTCGTCCTTTAAATCTGCCCTTAAAACATTCCTATTCCGGAAATTTTATTCTTAGTATTGTGAAACACTACATAGGTTTTTATCCCATTTAACTTTATTTTTGTTAGTGTAGGTACTATTGACTGTTAGTATCATTCTTACGTTCTATTTTTATTATGCTATGTAAGCGCCTAAATGCGCTCATAAAAGCCTTACTGTTATTGTTATTATTATTATTATTATTATTACGAGGGACTCAAACCTCAGTCCTTCGAATTCCACCCATATCTATACATATGACCTCATATCAATAATTAAAACGGCAGCCCCTTTAAAAACTGGAAGAGTTATTCTTTTCCAAATCGTGGAAATGAACAATAAGCATAAACTACATTAGTGGTTCTTTTAACTTTAACCCTTAATTTATTGAGTCATGAGTAAAAACGATACCCAAATAATGTTTAACCTTTTTTTGCATATTTAGATAATATTACAAATAAAGTCATTAGAATGTAACAAAGCTGCTTTTGAAATTTTACGAAGTATCGACTGAAAAAATGGAAATTATACTCGATAAATAATAATTTGAATGCCACACGATCCTAGTCATTGTGAAGCAATAACTATCTACCCACAGATCAAACAGATCAAAGTAGCAGTAAGCGTTAAATTTTTGTTATTATATTACTACATTTACGATATGTGAATAAAAAATATCCGCTTGCTTCTGGTAGCTCGCTGGTCAAACTGTTCGAAGACCCTTTGGCCATCGAACTCGAGTTGACGACTTATGTGACCTAAAACTGCTTTTTTTTTAACTCAAAACATCTCCTTTAACACATAACATCTCCATGGTAAATGCCATTCAAAATAGAACTAAATATTCCCTACGATTGCACGAAGTACTTTGTCTCAAACACTTGTGGTGCTTTTTGAAAAAAGACACTATAAACAAAAATGAAAGCTGGACATCTCTCTGAAACTCGAAAGTTATGGAACAATCTTGGATAATTTCACGATTTCTCCAACTTTATCAAATTATGGTCCTCCTTTGTGACGGTTAGCTGTAGGCTTCGTTAGGTCCACAGCCTCACTTGATCTCCACCATTTCTCCCTGAAACCAAGAAAAAAGCAACAAAATGATTTCAGGCTTTCAGTTTTCCCAAACCGCGAGGGTTTGGGAATTAAGCCACTAATCGAGATCACTTTGATAAATAGTTAATTGATAAAAGATTTAGCTCAACTGAAATGTCTCAAAGACTGTTAGAATATTTAAGCAGTGGAACGCATGTCCTATTGGTTTACCAGCGTTATAATAAGCGTGCGATGTTGGGAGAACGCGAGAAAAGTTCGCTCTTATAAATATACTTTTTCAATGGGTTACCCGGTGCAATAAACTAATCAGGGTGCTCGTAGTACCTCAATTCTCTTAGAAATAAAGTTCCGAAGACAAAGTTGAATTTTGACACCAAAGTAGAGAAAAGTAGCAGAAATTTCATCCGTCTTTAAACTGATGCCTATTGTAGTTTTTCAAGATATAAGTTTTATACATGAAATAAAAAATCTAACTTGATTCTCACCAACCTCATCATTGAAACGTATTTCAGCGTATAACGGGTCTTCGTTTTCCATAAGAACTGCCTCCCTCACTTGCTCGGCTCCCGTGGTAACGTCGGCATTTCCGAGTGGAAGTGCTTCGTATGTAGAATCCGGGTTAGTTTGCTTCATTCTCATGTAGCCATCCCGACCCAGCTCGCTTCTGAAAGCAGGTTGACCACTTGGTGGTGCGAACATATCGTAGTCAACCACGGCGAGTTCGTCTGCACTTACGGTACGCCTCATTTCTGGTGTCAGAGGGCGAGCTTGGGGCGAGTCGTCAAGTAACCAGTCCTTGGATCTAGAGAAAATGGTTAGTGGTTAATGATCATAATTGTCTGTTAGACCGCCACCTGGTTAGCTCAATTGGTAGAGCGCCGGACTGTTGTGCGGGAGGTCAAGGGTTCAAGCCCCGGCGGAACCAACACTCAGGGTCTTAAAGTAACTGAGGAGAATGTGCTACCTTTCTATAATATCAAGAAATGGATAGATATTCTAGTCTTTTCGGATAAGGAAGAGTAAACCGTAAGCCCCAGGGTTAGGGGTAGGAGACGTTAATTTCCCACGCACGAGATTACTGCGTTGAGGAATGGGTGGGTAGGTGTTACACAGGGCCCCACTTAAACCAGCTGAGTGCTGAACTGGGTTACCCTGTAAAAATATTCGCAAATACAATACGATACAATACAATACAATTAGATCAAAGGGAAATGTTAGGAGAAGCCCCACAGAACTCGTAAGTTTTCTAGTACAGTCACACAGCTTAAAGCAAAACCAATACAATTGCATATTAGCTTGAGGCCAAGCACGAACTACTTTGTTGTTTGAGCTAAAGAGGCTTTAACTGACCTAGTAAATCCCTCATTCGTGACACCAGAACCTCGTCTCTGCCCTTTTTGGCTGTTACGTTCCAAGGAAGCTGCCCTTAGAACCGGCTCAGCAGCAGAACTGTCACTTTTAATTCGCTTTTGTCTGGCAATGGACGCGTACCGGGCAGTGTCCGAACTCAAACTTATCATACTCGCACCACTTTTCACATCATCGACGGCATCTTCCGAGTACGTTGGTGTCTCCGAGTGTACGGTGTCAGCAGTAACGGGAGCTTCTTTGCTTACTTCAGCCTCAATACCGAACTGTATTACTCCTGAAAAGTCCAAGAACGATGAATGGATGAAAATAGTGTTAAAAACTAAGATAGAGGTAACTAGGCCAAAAGAATGAGTGAGTGAGTTCCACGAATTTGTAGCGTTCGACCACAGTTTTGTCAAATTATCTCCCTGTCCTGTCAATAACTTCGATAAAATTGAACACCAGTGAAAGCTTTTTTATAAGCAACTCTTACGTCAGGGGAAAAATAACAAAAGTCAAATTTGATTCAAGAATTCTCGACATTTGCAATATTGACTTGGATCCAAAGGGATCCTTTAGAGCGTATGACTTGTACAAGTTTTATTGACATGGAATTACAAACGAAAATACTCAGTAAATAGACCTAGTGTAGAAAATTTAGCTTATTTGGATTTCAATAAAATTCCACGAATGTTTTAATATTAAAAACTTGGGGTTAGAAAATCTCAGTTGTTTGGCAAGCGATTTGTGCCATTCAGTTGCAAGAAATTTTAACTATAAGCCAATTTACCTGATGGCTTAAAATTTTCGTCCTGCATGTCCACGATAACCTCTTGAATTTCATCTTGAGGAACAGATTTCGCTGCAGTCATTATATCCGCTGACGGAAGCCTCCATCTCTTCTCTAAATTTTCGATAAGGTATCCATCTGTGTCGTCCATCCAAGTGTGCCTGAAGGCTGTCAGACCGCGCCTCTTTTTACCCCTACAAAGGAAATAAGATTTAGCGCTGATGCTTCGGGCGCACCTTCCTTCGATCGGGAGTCATGTAAACAAAAGCAAAATTCTTCAACGACCAATCATAATTAGGAAGAATATCCCAGGGAGCCAATCAGAACTCAAAGGAAAAATTGAAGGCGGGAAAATGCAAGTGACCAAGTCGCAATTGGCTTTAGTCTTGTATTTGATTGGTTGAAAGAATGGCGTAAATTTTCTTGACCAATCCACAAAGCCGTTGAAACGGTTAAAAACCGGTTAGCTTTCAACAATCAAGTGCTACAATAGCTCTTAAAGCTTTGCACTATTTAAACAAGTTTCAAAATTACATTTTCGTGGCTGAAAAAACGTTTGGTAAGACTAAATTTGTGCTTGTGTTAATTTCTTTGCTATTTTCTTATAGCACAGATTCAATATTCTGACATCATTTTGGAAAATGGTCCATTCCCCTTAAAATCGTAGGGCCGGTTATTATAGTCACGTCACTTTTACCTTCCGCAACAGACATGCCAGCAACAATAATAACAACAGGCCATCAGGAGAAGGAATGACAGAATTCCAGCCAAGATCCATAACGCAATCACTGTACGAGAGAACAAGGAATTAGATTATTAAGTATTTTCGGCTTTCATTCTACGGCGTCTGACTGCAGCTTTTATGTCGAGTAGGAATTGTTACTAAACCGAGAAAATGAGAAAACAAAATTTCTAAAATGACTTTCAGACCCACAAGAGGAAAAAAAATTAACAGCTACTTACATATTCCAGTTTGCGCGCTTGGGTCACCGAGTTGTCCAGGAGGGGGAACAACTACAAAGGTAAAATAAAAAAGTCAGCATAGTATTGCTAATTTCCCGGCTCGCAATGTTATCCTCAATCCCTCATTTTGTCAGGTCTCCCTACGGCTAAACCGGTACACATCAGTATATTCTTGAAGGGGTACCCTATGAGCATATTTTCTTGTTCAACAACATAACATAGTAACGTGACTACGGCTCACATCTAGACTATCGATCCGAAGTTCACAGGGTAACCAAGGCACCGTGTCGTTCATAATGTTCTTCAAAAGGAATGATATTCATCACATTCCTATTGTATTTACCTGGTGCAAGGCACCCAAACACTGAGGCTCGCATGCAGGCCTGCTCAACAAAGTCCAAAGGATGGAATCGGATTACTCTGGCTGGTGTCGTTATATTGATCTCGTGAAGCACAATACTCGTTGGTTCTGTGTTGCCAGTGAAATTCTAAAAAGGTGAAAGAACAGTAGAAGAAACAGTCAAATACATTACTAGAAGTAATGTTGTTAACTCTCGAGTTTTAATACCTTTGGTTCTCAGGTTTTACCTCCAAAGAAATCAAACACGAGAAGGAAACATTAGTATATAATCAATTCACCGTCAGAGGAGCTCTTGATTTTAAGTTCTTTCATGAACCTGGAAAGCTCAGTTTATGTTTTTGTTACAACTTTAGTCTGTGAGAAAAATTCAGTCATGTGACCATTTTGGATAAAGTTACTGAGCGGTCATCGCAATTGCCCTGGGTTTCTGTTTCTTTTCTGTTTGAAAAGGCAAGTAAAAGGCAACGAGTGGAAAGAGAGGGCGAGAGTGAGAATGTAGGAGGGGAAAACTGCCGGTTCTTCCGAAAACCGCAGAGCGTCTTCCGCAAGTTATCGTACTCTCCTCCACTGACCGACTTTCCGAGCAGGGTATTCTTTCTTTATTCATAATGCTTTAAAACGTTGGCGTGTAAGAGTTCAAATAACTAATTAATTATCAAAGGTGTTTCTGATCCTTTCGTCTGTGGATAAACCACCAGGACGTCTATGACCAGTGACTACCTTTGCTCTATATCTGAATAAATCATATCTGCATTAAGCTTACCTTCCTCTGTCCTCCTTCAGTATAATCGGTGAAAGAGAGTCCATCGCCGCTGTATGTGATATAGTAACTTGTTACCCAGCGTTCAGATCCAGTAAAATCTTGCCCTTTTGTGGCAAGACCATTGATAAAGTAACTGTCAGCTGTCAGAAAAATATGAGCTGGTAAATGATTGATCACAAGAAGAGGTAGATACATTCTGCAAGATCTTTCAAATGTAAGTAGAATGGTTTATGTTTTCGTTGAAGGAAACCGTGGTAACTAAATGGAAGAGAGGAACCACCTTGTAAATGATTACTGTTAATGAATTTACTTTATTTCATCCCATTTTATAGTCCCTTCGTTGGCATTTCGTTTTTCTGTTTCAACCGTAATGTAAGCCTGGGTAAAATACGACAACGTAAAAAAAAGAAAACAAAACAAAACAAAAAAAACAAAACAAGCAAACAAACATCGAACAGGATATCCTGTGATCTCAGATCTACTTGCTATTAGGACTGAAAATAGGTAGACTTAGCTATGTAAGTGTATCACCTCAGGCTATTAACTTAACAACAATAAGACATATGCATCACTGATCTTTCTTTTACCTAAATTAATCTGGAGATACGGGGCACTGTCATCTGCAGTGGGACACCAGCCTTGCTTGTTAACACCAGGATTAGTCGTGTTTAGTTTGGCGAACCGTGGTAGCTGCACAGAACTCGAAGCTCCATAAGATCCATCCTCCAATGGGCCTATTTCTCTGCAATCTGTAAAATATTTTCAACATGTTCTGTGGAAGTCCTCAAATACTGACACTTATCGAAATATCAAACCTTAATTTTGAAAACGAGTCTACTGACCTTCACAGTTTTGAGTGTTACATTCCCTCGATTGTACTGTAGGACCGACACATCCTCGTCTGGGGATTTCACAAATGCGCCTGCGCTGTTGAGTGCCAGCAACACCACCAGAACGACATGACTTTGAGCATGCGCTCCAATCTCCCCATTGACCAAATCCGGCAGCTGAAATACAGATGCAACTTTGTTTAAAGGTTTCTCAACATGTTTCTTAACATGCATACACGCACTCTGACAATAGACTCTTCCGCTCTATTAGCTGCTTTCTTTGCGTCAGTAACAGAAGAACCCTTATCTAAACCTGTGTTTCTTTCATCAGACAAATCTTGCAAATCTAGTAAATTTTGATAAAAAATGATAAAAAAAAGTCAGAGCAAGCAATCGAGATAAGGTTTTTACCTCGGCTCAAATTGAAAAAAAGAATTAAAAAATGGGAAAACAGAGGAAAACATTGAAACGCAGATACATACTATTAATGCCATAAAATATGGCCTCGATAATTTCTCTGGCTACTTCTTGATAGGGCTTGTTTACAGTTGCATTGATCAGGTGTCGATCGTCCTTCGTAATTCCGATCAAATCGTTTTCGTTCGCCGAACTTCCGATTCCAACCCCAATTACGAGAACGTCTTTCTTATCAAGTTCGGTGACAGCTTTCTGCACTGCCGTAGCATTACTGGCTGATGGGGCATCCAGAATGACGACGAGAACTTTTCTGGCATTTGACCTGACCGATTGTAGTTCGTAAAGTGGCTTTGCCTCTTCCAGAGCTGCTGATAGGTTAGGATCGCCGTCAACTTTTTGAGATCTACCCACAATCCTATTTAAACTATTCTTCTCTGGAAATTTATCGTCGAAGGTCACTCGTGTCGTGACGATAGAGCCGAAGATGATCACGCTGTAGTGGATTCTGTCAATTCCGTATTGGTCTATGATCTGAGTGACTGCATTTCGCATTAGGACGATGGTAAAGTCAGACAAAGCCGAGGTCGCGCTGAGCGCGAAGGTCAGATCGATCAGTGGGATGTTCGCTGAAATAAAGAAGATATCCATCAAGATAAATAACGTTAAAAAACAGTCAGTGCATTATACAAACTCATGCCTAAGGCAGCTATGTATAAGGTACCAAGCAAATGAAGAGGTGATTTTGCTGTTGAGCATTAGAAGTGGTTTATTCCGAAAGGAATATACAAGCGGTGCGAACGGTGGCTTAAAGCTGCAACCGTTGCGGGAAGAATCTCTAACGGATGCTAAGCGCAGGAAAACATACAGTCGCTGCAAGGATTATTGTCAAAGCTTGTGAAAGGTGCCATATGTAGGAAAAAAAAACTTGGATACCAAGAAATGTTTGAGGAAACAGACAGTGTTAGGAGTGGAAATTATGCTAACACTCCAGTGTTAGGAGTGGAAATTATGCATGCATTATAAATCATATCCTTAGAGAACAAGCTGAGATCTTACCTGACGATGCCTTCCTTATGATGGTCTCTGCAATGACAACTGACCGATCCGTAGTAAAGGTTGGAATATTAAGGTAGTCAATCTGTGTTACTGTCACTACGTTAGTTCCGTCTTCACTACGATTTACTGAGAAGACGAGGATTCCTTCCCTTACCAGTGAAGCACCAGCTGAAGTAATTGCACTTTCATTTCCACCCGCAGTCACATCTGTGAGTACAATGAATACTTTCTTACTGCCTGGTCTACTCGGTAAAGATCGGAATAGAGCTTCTGCAGCTGTTAACTTCGCTTGAAGATCAATAGCTCCAGGAATTCTGCCTAAGCTCGTCACAATCGATATAAGCTCGTTACGATCGATATTCCGGTTGGAGAAGTCCACAACCGTAGTATTAATGTTGCCGTATAAAATGACCGTGTATCTGACTCTTTCTGTTCCATACCGATGATTAATGGTATTAATAGTGTCTTGCATCAACGTGAAGAGACCCACAGATTCTACCTCTTCGTCTCTAACGGCAAAACCCACATCAATGTCCGGGATAATACCTGGGAAACAGGAAAAAAAAGGTAAGTTATTTTCATTCTCGAATTATCTTTTAGACTACATAGCCTTGGTTACAAGGTCCTGGTTTCAAGCCCCCACCCTTCCGCTAAAATGCATTTGCTTCATGGTAACCCACCAGTGAGAAGTCGAAATTTTCAACCATTTACGTTCATAAGAAATACAGCTACGGAGACTTGACAACCCTGTACGTTCAGTAGATAAAAGGTAAAGTAATTTCTTACGTCTCAATATCCTGTCAATGACGCGGTCACCCACTCTCTCTGGAATTTCATTTACATTTGTCGATATAACATCAAGGGGATTGGGCGAGATGACCTCTAACTCTTTTGTATCCACGACGCCTCCAACTGCCACAGAAATAACTAAAACTCCTTGTTCTTCTACCGTTTTCACAGCATTTGAAAGCTTTTTCTTATCCGTTCCCGAGTTATAATCTGTGATAACTACAAGAGCCTTTTTGGCGGCAGGTCGTCCATGTGACTCGTTGAAGATTTTAAAAGTTTCCTTCAATGCATCTTCTAGGACAGGGCCTCCCACTAACGCTGGCTGCGCGTCGATGGCTGATTTCAGTTGATTGGCGGTTGGGGGAGAGGAGCTGTTGAAGGTCACCACACGCTCGACGCGGTCACCGTAAACGATGATGCTGTATTGGATTTGGTTGACACCATACTTGTCAATGAATGTTTTCAGTGTGTTCTGCATGAATGCGTAAGTGGCGTTGGAGTTGGCTGATGTCGCGCTCAAGGCAAATGTTATATCGATATCCGAGAGGCCAGGTATTCCTGTAGTTTAAGAAGCAAAAACAAAAAAAAGTTAATTTCCAAGACCGAGACACAACTTAAAAGTGTGATAAAAAAGATGGGGAATCGAGGGGAAAGCGAGCCGCTCCGACGTGAAAGAGCACGAAATGTTAGCTGTAACACAACAGGAAACAACCATTAAAAGATGGAAAATCTGTCTTTTTATCTGCATCAGTGGCAGGATTCCATGGTAATATAAATATGAACAAAAAACAAATTCTGGAGGTTGCAAATCTCGGTGGATTAATAACCCAAAGGAGCTCCTCCGTGTTCATGGATTCAAAATGGTACAAATGCTTTGATACAAGGATTAATACCCCTACAAAACATGTTTACAAACCTGTTGGGGTAGCGGTGGTAGGAGCAGCCGTGGTCGTAGGGGCCTCTGTGGTGGTAGCTTCAGTTGTGGTAGTTGCTTCTGTGGTAGTAGCTTCTGTGGTCGTAGCCTCAGTTGGGGTAGCAGCCTCAGTTGTGGTAACAGCCTCAGTTGTGGTAGCAGCCTCCGTTGTGGTAGCAGCCTCCGTTGTGGTAGCAGCCTCCGTTGTGGTAGCAGCCTCTGTTGTGGTGACTGCAGTAGTGGTAGCAGCCTCAGTGGTAGTTTCTTTAGTAGTTGGAGCCTCAGTTGTTGTAGCTGCCGTAGTAGGAGCCTCGGTTGTGGTAGCCGCGGTAGTGGTAGCTTCCGCAGTAGTGGCTGCAGTCGTAGTCGCTTCTGTTGTCGTGGCTGCAGTGGTAGTGGTAGCCTCTGTGGTAGTGGCTGTAAAAATGGTAATATGTTGACCAATTAGCTATCATCGGAGTCAAACCTTTAGGTAACAGCGCGTTTAACTGTCCACTTTTTAATATCCGCTAATCACGCCTGGCGAAAATACTCATTATTATAGCAAGGGATCACTTTAAAAACTCTACCTGGCTGAGTTGTTGGGAGAGCTGTCGTAGTTTCTGGAAAATAGAAACATTATAATGAATAATTTCATGCTTCTTGTTAACAGAAAGGGGAAAAAAACATGAAAGGTCATACAACAACGTCAGTCATTAGAGAGTGTTATTCCCTGGCGAGTTCATTAAGCTGCAAAAGCCGCTTAATATTTCTTAAGTGCGTTCTAATTAACTTAAAACTAAACCGACATGGAAATATAGTGAAAGGAAGAAACTTGAGCAGGTTACCTGATTGAGTTGTCGGTGGTGGGGTTGTTGTAGGAACTGGAATAAAGAAAGATAACTTTATTTAAAGTCATCTATGAATATGCAATGACTGGTTGGAGCAATTTTGAACTGAGTGTCGAAAATAATCTACGCTTCACTCTGTGATTGGCTCGCTAAAACTTGACCCATCATCTCAACCAATCAGAGAAACTTTAAGCCAATGGAGGCTTGGTTACTCCTTTTTTCCCGCCCTTCAGGTAGTTTACTTGTTGCTGCGCCTGCTTTATTCTTATTTTGAGTTCTCATTAGATCCTCGTCATATATACCTTTGTTTTGATTGGCTGTTGGGAAATTTGGGCTTGGTTTTCAGAGCATCAATCGGAAAGCACTGTATGACCTCACCTGATGCAAGCTTACCTGGACATGCACCGTCGTTGCAAGAGCCAAGTTGCATAGCTTGACCTTTACAAAATGCCCCACCATTGGATGGAGGTGGGTTAGTACAATCACGTGCCCTCCACGTTGTTCCTGGACCACATGTTTTGGAGCAGGAAGCCCATGGACCCCAGTTAGACCACTGACCATCAACTATGAAAAAAAAAAAACAGTGGCTTTGTTTCACATTTCATCTCAGCTAAGAAAGATGTTAAGTTCTAAGATTTAAAAGAATTGTGTATTGGGTTCGAATCCTGGAGAAGGTACTTAGCTTCTTTTTCATTTTATGCATATGGCTGCTGTTACTTCAGCCGAGAAAGGAAATGTTTGCTTTTTTGCCTCTTTCACACTTAACGCTTTTTTTCTTTGAGAATTATTTTATCTAGCAATACTCGTGTTGACATGTGATGCTTTCTCTTGACCCGTTTTTTACCAAAGATTAGTCCTGTCCATGATTTCTTACCGGCACAATTGTTAGTACAGAGCTGAGTAATGGTATTAGCCCCAACCCAATCCTGACCACCAAACACAGGCACAGGATTGGTGCACGTCCTTGTGCGAGACCTGAGATTACCACCACAAGGATCGCATTGACTCCAAGCCGTCCACTCGGTCCATCCTCCATTGATAGGATCTGGCTTGTCTGTTAATTCAGTATGAGAGAAAGAGACACATCAGACACCATTACACAAAGTGAGCGTGTACTACACGTGGTTTTTTTTTTCAACTTCTCACAATTTACATAATCTTTTTTTTTTAAATTATAGCGGTGATAAAATTACGAAATTCAAATACCACCATATAGTGTTTTTTAATTTTGTATTTAAAGGCTTTCTTTCGTTTTTCTTAGGATAATTCTGCTGACTGCGCGTTAAATAACCACATGTGATTCTACGTTCTGGCTCTCCTAGACAAGCCCTGAATTCCAATATGCCTCTCTAATAAGAGGAGGACTTGAATAGGTGAGCCTTAGTAACACAGAGAAATTATTTTTAGATAGCCTTCCTTTCTAGAAAGATTGATTTTTCCCTCTGTCCTTCAGTCTTACTCGCTTTTAAGATCTGCTCAAAACGGCACAGTTTCCCCTCAAACCTTTTTTCTATCAGTTTAATCTGGTTTTCTTTTTCTAAGTCTCTTATACTGTACAGAGACAATAGTAGAAAGTAATTTTGAAAATTACCGTTATGACAACTTTGCACATCCACTCTCATACAGAAGTAGTTTTGATTCACTCCTTTAGGTTCTAATGGAGCAAACCTCACATATCGGCCAGTCTGAGGTGCGATGAGTTCAGTCGGACGCAGTAAATTACCATTGTACAAATTTCCAAAAAAATACTGGAAGGTAAATTAAAAGCTGCAACTTCAACTTCATGAGAACATTGAAAAAAATGTGTGGTTACGACTAGGAATAAGACAAGAAATATAAAATAACAGTACGTAACGAGTGACCATACGCGATTAACGACAAACGAATCACAATTAGCGAATAACGGTAACTTTAGCGATAAAAGAAACAGCGACGATGACAAAAACGATTATGTTGCCACCTTGGTTTGAAGTAGAGGGTAAATGAAAGGATAAACTGAGTTGACATTGATAAAAGAACAAAACATCAATTAAGTATCCATGAGTGTTAAAAACGATCACAATCATGATGACTAATTAGTTACTCCCTCTTTGATTTCCAGTTGATGGGGTACTCATTATTAGGTCATCACAATTGAGCAATTAGGGATTCTTTGCTTGCGTTTTCGTTGTTATTTTTCTTTTAACAGATCTCACCTGGTTAGCAATTGGGGTGTAAACTCTATTGTCGGCACTGTAGCTTAACTTATATTCTGATACAGATCTGTTCGAGTTTGGCTTCCCCTGCATGACGACACGATCAAACAAGAAACTATAACCTAGACAATTAAAATAAGAGAGGTTGAAGATTAGTACTATTAGAATAATACATACCTAGCACTGGAGGAATCATCATTTTACGACTGCAATG